TATAACAAGTCCACAAAACGACATCTCCGGCCGCACTGTTGCCGTGGCGCTCCTTAATATTACAAGTCCACACAGCGACATCTCCGGCCTTACTGTTGCCGTACCGCTCAATGCTATCAAGTCCACACACCGACATCTCCGGCCGCACTGTTGCCGGGATGCTTTATAGTCAATATAATAGAGAATGCATCGCACGTCCTGGCGAAGAGCACACGAACCGCGAACAATCTGACCGCACCCGTGGCGCGGCCGGCCGAGCAGGAGGCGACCGCATTTCTCCCTCTCCCGCGCGAGGCACGAGCTCGCGGGTATATATCTAGTATATTCCAGACTATGCTTTTTGGGTTGGCACTACTGCATATAAACTAGCCGGTTTTTACCGGTTAATGTGGACGGTTTTTCTTATCAATATGGCGAATCTGTCTCGTGAACGCGACTTTCTTATGTAGAGTTTTGCTGCCCGATGAGAATACAATAGATTTAGGTGTGTTGGTGGGGGAAAGCAGTGTGCGGTGAGAGGGGAAGCAGTGCGACTGCGTTTGTTGGGTTTGGCTGCCCGTCCATACACACAAGTCACACACATGTCGATCGCTAATAATATTATTATTTTTTTTTTAAATATAAAAGATTCTGACCACTGAATTTTAATTCTACAATGCTCGAGATATAATACATTATTTTTCCGGTTAAATAGTTTAATAGTTATTATGATCATTTAGATTATTTTTCATAGTATTGGGCTAGTAAAATGAATTATTTGCGTTTTTGCTATGTAGAGTTTCGCTTTTCGCTGCCCAGCCACGCGCTACAAGGATAGAAATGCAAATAAATTAAGAAAAAATTAAATAATGTTATTTTACAGACTAAATAATCGTATATAATTACTTCTGTTCAATTGTTAGAAAGATTAAATTAATTCTCACTACTATTAATAGGCTTGTGAAATGCATTGCGATTTTTTTATGTAGACTTTTGCTGCTCGGCCGCGCGCTTCAAAAAAATAATCATAAATAAAATAAGAAAAAATTAAATTTTTTTTTTCAGACTTAATAATACCTTCTCTTTCATTTTTATAAATCTTAAATTAATTCTTAACACTATGAGGCATGTAAGATGCATCTGCAACTTTGATATGTAGACTTTTGCTGCTAAGCCGCGCGCTTCCAACTCAGAGTCGCTTGATTCGGCTGCCGCGGTAGAATATATGAAATAAATATAAGTATAAGTAATATAAAAAATAATTGAATTATTTAACTTTTTTTACATCAATAATAATATATTTTTTATATTAACACAATTTTAAGGAATTTTAACCACTATTGGGCTTGCAAAATGCTTCTGCGATTTTCTTGTGTAGACTTTTGCTGCTCTGCCGCGCGCTTCCCGCATTCAAACTCCGAGTCGCTTGATTCGGCTGCCGCGGCAGAATATATTATGATGAAATAAATAGAAGTAATACAAGAAATTGTTAAAATCTTTAACTTTTTAACAATATTAATTGTATTTTTTTAATTTTTACAAAATTGAAATGCAGTTTTACTACTATTAAGGCTTGTAACATGCGTCTGCAATTTTGTGTAGAGTTTTGCTGCTGGTCGCGCGCTTTCAAGGAAATATTTTTATAATAAGAAAAATTAAAAAATCTAACTTAATGAAGTTAATAATTATTTCTGTTAAATTTTTAGAAAGCTTTAATTCATTCTTACTACTTTAAGGCTTGTTAAATGCAACTGCGATTTTTTAAGTAGAGTTTCGCTGCTGGGCAGCGCGCTTCAAAGAAATAAATATGAATAAAATATGAAAAAATTAAATATTTTTTTTTTCAGACTTAATAACAACTTCTCTTTCATTTTTATTCTACCGCGGCAGCCGAATCAAGCGACTCTGAGTTGGAAGCGCGCGGCTTAGCAGCAAAAGTCTACATATCAAAGTTGCAGATGCATTTTACATGCCTCATTGTGTTAAGAATTAATTTAAGCTTTATACAAATGGAATAGAAGTAATTATTAAGTCTGAAAATTAATAATTTTATTTTATTTCATTTATATTTATTTCTTTGAAGCGCGCGGCCGAGCAGTGAAACTCTACATAACAAAATCGCAGATGCATTTTACGAGCCTCATAGTAATAATTAATCGAAGCTTTCAAAAAAAGTCGGAAAATAAAATAATTTAATTATTTCTTACTTTACTATATAATATTTAATTCACATTTTCTCCCGCGGCAGCCGAATCAATCGCGGGTGACAGTTGCATGAGAAGCGCGCGGCCGAGCAGCAGAAGTCTACATAATAAAATCGCAGATGCATTTTACTAGCCTTTCAATAGTGAAACTTCATTTCAATTTATTAAATATCAAACAGATATTATTATTGATGTTATAAAATTTTAGAATTCAATTATTTCATATTTTATCTATATTTATTTCTACACTTCCTAGAGGCGCGCCGCCAAGTAGCAAAACTCTATACATAACAAAATCGCAGAAGCATTTTACTAGCCTTTTATTAGTTAAACTTCATTTTTTTTTTTTTTTTAAATATTAAACAGATATTATTATTAATGTTAAAATTAAAAAAATTAAAAGCCAAATCAAGCGACTGAGGCGCGCGGCCAAGCAGCCAAACCCAGCAAGCATATCTTCCCCTCCGTCCGTACGCGTCCCCACCAACAGACCGGGCAGCGAAACTCAACATACAAAAGTCGCGTTCAGGAGTACTTTTCCAATATGGCTGTTAGTGGGCGTTTCTTTGCAGCTGGTTGTCTGCTTCCTTACACTTTTATTGTAATGTTTTACTGTTTTTGTGATTTGTGCTCCCTCAAAATGTGTTTTAATAGTGTATCGGTGCGTTTCTTATGTTTTTCTTGTGTTAAATAGTAAAGTATTCACATTTATTTTCGTTTATATCCAAATTTTTGGTTAAATATGGTGATAGTGCGGATAGTGGGTGTGTTTCTTTCAGCAGCTTCGCTTCATTTAGCTCAATTTTGGTGTTTTTGTGCTGCATCAAGAAGTGTTTTAATCTGGTTTTATTGTGTATTGGAAACTTTTTTGCGCCTCTTTCTGTTACTGACAATGAGTAATGCATTTTACGTTTTAGTGTTCTTTTTTTGTATTGCCTAGGTGGTGGTTTTTGTATTTCTTGGTCCAATCTTTCAGGAAATTATACTTCTGAAGTGGTTAGTCAATGTATATTTTTAGCAGTCTTATAATGTCGTGTAAATGCATTTTGTATCTTGTAGCTGTTTTTTTCTGGTGGTGAGTGGTGCCTTGGTCTTTTTTCCATTGCACAGACAGTTTTAAATTCTTATTTGTGCTCAGATGGTGGTGGAAATTAAGTGGTTCCAGTGCCATTTTTTTATTTTTTTTTTAAATGCGTTTTGCAATAATATACTGTTTTTTTACTCTTTTTTGTGGTGCAGGGTGCGCTTCATGAATAAATATTTTTTTGCTGTCTATATTTATCGTTTTGTGTTTTTTTTTTTAATGTAGTCCTATTGCCTAGGTTTTTATCTATTTATTCCACTTTTTTATATTCCTGTGCCATATATATATATATCATATATATAGCCGCTAATCTGCATGTCAATGCATTCCATCAAGTCATTTGTTAGTCTTTCTCAGGCCGGCTACGTGATGTTGCTGGTCGGGCAATGCGCGAAAATGCGGTCGTGCGCTTAGGAGAGCCGCCGCAGGAAAAACAAACATTTGCACGCACGTCTCTCTGTGCCTTGTTGACAAAACAATGGGTCACTCGGCTGTACTTCCGTCCCACGTGGTGGTTTGACCTTACGGCCAAAAGAAGGCCTCAGGGAGACTCCAGTGCTTATTACAAAATTATCACATCCAACATTTTGCAGTTGCACATATTGCTTACGGTTTGATAAAAAGCAAGAATTTTGCTAAGACTTCCGAGATCAAAAAGACCCCTGCATCCGATGCAGTGAGCCTTTAATTCGAAATTTTTAATTTTCATTTATTTTTGTAATTAAATTGAATAAATGTAATTAATTTTAATAAAAGTAAAATTGTTGCTTTCAGACCTAGTCATATCAAATCAAGTTTTTACAAAAAAGGTGGCTAAAATTTTAAATTTTTTACTAATAATTGCCATAAATGGCTCCAATTATTGTTTAGTTTCAATTCGTCTATATTAATGTATCTTTGGGCTTATCTTGGCATATATGCCAAGAGAAGGAAGACCTTGGGCCTTAACCAATTTTGCGATTCATTGGCAACCGTGGTGAGATCAATTTACCAAAGTAACAACGCCCTGGCGCGGCAGAGAATTCGCTCCTCAATGACTCTTTGCAATAAGAGGAAAAGGACGAAGAGGAGCGTCTGTTCCGCAACATGGTGGGGCCCTCGGGCACCATAATAGTGTCCCTCGCGTCCCCACCCAACGGCCAGTCGCCCTCAGGCCCCTTGGCTAGCACAACAACAACGGCCACCTCTCCACAGCAATGCGTGCAACGACGACGCGGCCATGGCTGTCATGTTGTTGCTGGGGGCCGACACCGGACTCAGCTGACCCGTCATTTTCTCCGGCCTTCCTTGGCTGCTACCGCTAGAGACATTTATGTACAAGATGTTGACATATAAACTGATGATCAAAAATATTTCGGTTTTAGAGACACACTGGTATTGTGAATATATATTGCTGAATTTTGCCTGATAAGATTTCATTTGTAAAATGATTTCCACAATATAATTACAATAAATTTTAATATATATGTTTGATATATTAATCAGTTCAATATATTTATAATTTGGCATTAGCTCAAGATTTTTGTAATTGATTAAATGCAGATTTAATTTTTTTTCCCATGAAAATGTTTGTAAAATTCATAACTCATAACTGGAATAGATTTATAAGGCCTATAAAGGTGACTCCAAAATCTAGACATCACAGCACAAAAAATGCCACGCAGAAATTATATCAATCTGCAAATTGTTGTTATTATGTAAACCTGTCCAAATAAAATTTAATGGCCAGCAACTTTTTAACTTTTAGAATAATTATTTATTCAAATTTGAAGAAGGAAAAATAATTCATCGAATCCACGTGTCTCCATATTCATTAGTTTGCTCTCCAATGGGATTTGGCAGAGGATTCCTGGGGGCTGCTTGGGCCACCGCATCAGATTGTTGCATCAGACCTCTGGAATTTGCAATATTTTAATAATTTTATAAAACAGAAATAAAAAAAATAATAAATTACTTTTTTTTAAATCCTACCAAAATATTTTAATACTGCTCAAGTTGAATGGTCTAAATTCCATATTTTTTCATGGAAATGTTTCGATAAAATTACCGTTTTATTTAACAATGATATTCTGATCAATGTTACTTCTACGTGAAACTATTCCCACCTGTTTTGCGCCAGCCTTTTCTTCTCGTATTCATCCCTATTTTGTGCTCGCAAGTCTTCATAAGTGGTGTTTCTTGTTGCTGCAGGTAAGGGCTCTTCCATTAAGTAACCTAATTTTGAAATAATAAAATACTTGAAAAAAAAATCAAAATTAGGTAAAGAAATAATTATATTCTACATAATTAATTGAATTGATCACATAGGTCCCCCAAAGTTAAAGGTAACGATCTGAAAATTTCGCAGGTTATTCAGCACGGTTTGAAAGGAAGCTCACAAAAAATTTAAGACAAAAATTTTGAAAATTGCGGGTTTTACGGAGCATTTTGAAAAATCCAAAAAACGTAAATATCTCGGCTTCCTGTGGTCCCACAACAATATTCTGGATATATTTAAGATTGTCTCGTTGACCTCTACAAATTTGCTTTAGCTTTCAAATTTTTAGGTCAAAGTTCAAGGTCATTAATTTTGAATCAAAATTTTCAAACTCAAATTCAAAACCCGGCCACACAACAAAATAAAATTTCAAGATAGCCAATCGATTCCTCATTAAATTTTACGTAATATATGTAAAAATTGCGATGTGGGTATTTTTCGTTAAATTTAAAATTAGATAAAACTATTAAAAAACGTTGATTTTTGCTCCTCAGGACGAAGGGCCATCACAAAAAACGTAATTTATTCGATTTGCATTGGTTTTAGACAATATTTGATAATGACAAAAAATGTTCCCTGAAGTATGGAAATTCGGAAAACGTGCATAATGATGACCTTTGGTGACCTTAGGTCAAAGGTCACCGTGACCTTTGACCTAGGTTAACCTGAATATAATGTGTGGCACGTAAATGGAAAGGTCTTGTCAAGAGCAATATTTTGGACACAAAGTTTTTGTTTCTAGCGTACTTAGAAATAAATTAAATTTGATTTATAATTAAATAATGCTCGATTTCCTTGGATATCTGCTGGAAAATAAAGGTTTTCTCTTTTTAATCAACTTCTTGTAAAGCTAGAAACAAAAACTTCGTGTCCAAAACATTGCTCTTGACAAGACCTTTCCATTTACGTACCACACATTATATTCAGGTTACCCTAGGTCAAAGGTCAAGGTGACCTTTGACCTAAGGTCACCAAAGGTCATCATTATGCACGTTTTCCAAATTGCCATACTTCAGGGAACATTTTTTGTCATTATCAAATAGTGTCTAAAACCATTACAAATCGAATAAATTACGTTTTTTGTGATGGCCCTTCGTCCCGAGGAGCAAAAATCAAGGTTTTTTAATAGTTTTATCTAATTTTAAATTTAACGAAAAATACCCACATCGCAATTTTTACATATATTACGTAAAATTTAATGAGGAATCGATTGGCTATCTTGAAATTTTATTTTGATGTGTGGCCAAGTTTCGAATTTGAGTTTGAAAATTTTGATTCAAAATTAATGACCTTGAACTTTGACCTAAAAATTTGAAAGCAAAAGCAAAAATGTAGAAGTCAACGAGACAATCTTAAATATATCCAGAATTTTGTTGTGGGACCACAGGAAGCCGAGATATTTACGTTTTTTGGATTTTTCAAAATGCTCCGTAAAACCCGCAATTTTCAAAATTTTTGGGTAAATTTTTTGTGAGCTTCCTTTCAAACCGTGCTGAATAACCTGCGAAATTTTCAGATCATTACCTTTAACTTTGGGGGACCTATGTGATCCTGAAAAGATTTTATTATATAATAAAATTAATATCCAGAGGAAGTATTGTTTTTCATAAAGAATTAATAAGGAAAATACCGAAAAATACTCTAATTAGGATCATACCAGTATAGTCAAACGAAAATTTCAGAGGTGTACTTAAAGAGAAAAACATTATTATTTGTAACCATTATTTTGGCATTCTGTTCTGCTGGAAAATTGTTCCACAGGGGTATCTCCTGTTTTATAACCGACTGCCACTTGCTTTTCGAATTGAGCCGAGGTATGATCGGTTTGTGAGATTGTTCAAGGATTTTTTTCTGTACATAAATTTTACTTAGAACTTCAGTTTCTTGTTTACTTAAAGAACTTGTAAATATTTTTCTTTCTTTTGATCTTATTTTATCTTTCATTTGACCTGGTTGTAAATAGGTGGATTGCGACGGAGATATTACATGTAATATCACACATTCAAAGAGAAGGAATGAAAAAATTGTTCCACGCAATATAATGAGGGGGAGGGAGCGCTCACTGGTACCATTGTTCTGCACCAACATTTGAATTTTGCGAAGCCCGAAAACTTTTTAAAGGTGACAAACATGAAAGAAAACATTCAAGGTCACTTCCAGCTAAATCTTCCCTTAGGATAAAAGTTTCCATTTTTCTGGAGGAATGCGGAAAATGAAGCGCATCTAATTTAGAATCACTATAGAAAAAAATCATAAATTTTGTTTTCATTTTAATAAAACTTGAATTTTTGGCAAGGTGCTTTTATCAACTATTAATAACTTTTGTAGGTAACATTTAAACAATTTCTGTTAATTGACTTTATGATATCATCAATTTTTACTGCTTCGTAAGTTTGTACTGTTTTGTTAATTTGATCTCGCTCTATTAATGGTTTATTAAAAGTTAAAGAACCAATTTTCATTCATTCACTAATTCATTTTTTAAAATTCTGAAAGTTCAATTTGTACATTATTTAAAGTAAAATTCCTATACTGCAACCCTCTAATAATATTTCAAGTGACAATTGAGAAACAAAAATCGTATAAGAATAAAAATGTTGCCGGACAATTTGTTTTAAGAGAGGATAAATTGCATTACTGTCATCCATTGACTTCGAGTCTGTCGAATCCAGGGACATAAGAGGCCGGCTGAAATCGAGTTCTGTGGTGCTTCTCGGGCCATGGTCCGAGTAGGTTTGGAAAGATTCGGTGACTAGCCCTGGCGAAGGCATCGGTCCAATTCCTAGCCCAGCATCATACAAAAATCTGCACAAATTCAAAAAAATTATTCATTTTCCCTTCTGCAAAACTGTTTTGTCCTACGAATCGCCCAGTTTCTGCTTCCTCTTTCTCAGGCTGTCTGCCAAAGGGCTGTTGGGCAACTTCATGATTTTCTCCATGCACTTCTGCTGGTAGGAAATTTTGCCAACAAAGTAGCCAAGGATCACAGCCAGACTTACTTTGGGAACGGCGCCCCATTTGGCACTTGGTTTCAAGAACCCTAATTCAATTATAAAAATTAAGACGGTTTTTTTTTAATTATGTAATTTTGGTTTAAACCGGCTTTTGTTGCATAAAAGGTTCCAAATCCTAGAAGGGTTCCGATGGGCAGCGACCTCTGATAGAAACTCTCTCGGTTGCACTCTTTGAAAACTCGGACCTCGTCTGCTGTAAATTTGTACGGCTGGAAATAAAAATTCAAAGATTACTTGAGAATTTATGAACACGGAGAGTTTAATTTGTTTACACCACTCCTGCTGTCGAAAGGGTTGACAGCTTGTCCTGCGGACGGAACTCCACTCTGATTCGCATAGGGATCCATCTCAGTCTGTCCTTGATTTCGATTTTGAAGATTTTCACAGTTAAAACTGAACCGAATTTGCGATGAATTCAAGATAATTGAGAGACAATTCGCAGGCGATGGAGATCGTCCGTGTTCTTGTTCTGGTTGGTTCGGTGCTGTTTTTTGTTTTTGTTTGTGTGATTCGTTTCAAACAATGCCGACAGGTGGCAGCACTTGGAGGTGGCCTGTGAAATCTGCCTCCTGGTGGCGCGAAAAACTCTGCACTTGCAGCTTGGCGCGGCTTGGGCTGCTCCAGCAGTACATGTTGTACGCAAACACGTTTAATAAAAGAATTATTATTAAAAAGGCGTGGAGCAACGTGTGGAGTCAATATACACGGATCTGCAAAGTTCAAGAAATAAGCTTTAATTAAAAATTGTTTTTTGGGAGAAAATTAGGGACAGGACTTCAAAATTGCTGAATATTGTAAAGGTTTTTTTTAACACCCTTTAAATCTTGCTACACACTATATTGAGCATAGATTAGAGCACAATTAATATTTGAATGAACAAACCTATGTACATTTTGAGGGAATAATTATTATTAGAAATAATACTAATAATATTGCCAAATCCAGTGAAAGACGTATATTGTTATCAGCTAGTGCCCTTATTAAGATTACAGAAGGCAAGGTCATTTTTATCTCCTTTTCTCAAGAACCCAATATTTAATAATTTTTCATATATTCTTGAAAAGTCTTAATAATTTCTATTGTTCGAAAATGAAAAGGTTATCTGCTTTGTAGTAAAAGAAATTTCCATTTTTTTTCTTGTGCAACAGGAAATAGAAATAACATTATTTTGACTTCAATACATTTTCACATAAATATCATTTGACCTGCAAAACCGTACGAAAAAATAATTTAGTATTCCCCCAACCGTCGTCGAGAAGGGTATGATTAAATTACACGTTTCTATTTTCTGACCTAAATACTTATAAAGTTACTTTGTCAACAACAAAAAAGAAAACAAAAAAATTAAATTAAATTAAACCGTCAAATTTTGAGTAAAAATGTAACTTTCATTAATTTTTCACGAAATATTGTTAGTAAAACTTTTTAAAAGATTGATTTATGTACTAATTCTTGTCAAAATGATTCCACAACTCATGATGCAGCCGAAAATCATAGAGCAGGATATTGTTTTTTTTCTTTTAAAATGAATAACTCATTAATCCATCGACGAAAACCCGATTTTAAATTCAAATCATCATACACATTTTCTGCATATTAAATAAGATATATGTAAATGATATATATACATTCATAAAAAGCAGTTTTGTTAATTTGTAATCTATAGCAGCAAAATAATCTCATTCATCAGCAGAACGTCCTTTGTAATATTTTCAATCTTTTTTATTTCCCATAAGATCTATTAGTAGAAATTGACACTTGAGGAGAGATCATGGAAGTGAACAAAATGGGCTTTGTCCTCTTTTGCAAAAAAAAAAAAAAAAAAAAATGAGGGCAAAACTTGTGTTCTTTCACTTCTAGAGATCTATAATTTCAATTTTTCTTCCATTAAAACTTAAATAAAGGAATAGTTCATGACGCATGGTGGAAATAATATTACGCCATGTTGCAATTATAATAATAATGGATAGTTCTATTTAATCCTTTAATAAGATTTGCTTAATCAGAACTTCTCTGCTTCTTATTATCTGTAGTTTAAAGAATCCAGTAAAAAATGACTAACTCCAAAACTAAAAATAAAATAAAATAAATAGGGTGGTGCCTTCTGCACCACTAATAAAAGGCACAAGCCGATAAGACTTTCTCTTAGTCCGACCCTAAAAAAAAGTTTCTTGAATAAAATTTTATCCACCTCGTTCAACGTCTATAGGCAGAGTAAACAAAATTAATTCCGCGCATCCCAGAAGATGATGAAAACATTCACTCCCAATTTGCCGTGTTTTGTGTAGGTGCGCAGCGGCGGCGCTTTTGATTGTATTGCTGCACCTGGCGCGCACAAGCCCATTATCGGCGGCGCCTTTCTGCCTGCCTCATAAAAAATATATATCAAAACAACCTCCATGCACTCTTTGACAGCACAGCTCGCTCTTAGTGTATATGCCTTGAAACTTTTTATATTCACGTTTTTTATTATTATTCTTGTGGGGATCTATGGAGACCGAGGCGCTTTTTCTTTTTTAGATAGAGAGAAAGAAAAAGAGGAAAAGTGAGTACTCTTTTTTATCATTAAGTACGGTGCTTTGTTCTTTAACTTTTGTATTATTGAGCTATTCATACTACATTATTTTGCAGCAGGATGTTCAAAATAGGAACGCCTAAATGTAAATCTGATATTAATTTTTTTCGCTCCTAAACTTTAATTGCAGTGATAAGAAATTTTTTTTACAAAATGGAGTTTTTAATATTTCTTATTTTGATCCTGCTGTGATTCCGCTACAAATATTGAATATTAAAGGGAAAAAAAGAATCTGGTTTTAAAAAATCTTTGTAATCATTCTGCTTTCTGATTTTTTAATTACTAACAATTACATTACCATATTTTTTGTAATTATTCTTGCTTGCTGAAAATCAAGCAGTTTTTTATCTTCTCTTGCTCATGAAATAGGGTTGAAGAAGATGATCGAAACCGATTGTCGATAGAGCCGTTTGTTTTAAAATAAATTGTTCAATGAAGACGAATTCAGTTTTATTCACTTTTGTGACTGTCAATATATCCTTGTGTGCAGACTTCTCTACTCAAATAATTTTTTGCAGTATACTTAATAAATAAGTCAAAGGAAAAAAGTCAAAATTGAACAAATATGAAGGATCAATTATTAATTTTACACTGACTTGATAATACAGCAAATTTTGTAGCAATGTTTGAAAGTTCTTCGAGTTGAAATATAATTCGGCACAGTACTTCTCCAAACATCCATATAGAATAAATGCCAGGGGAAAAACAGTTGCTCCATCTGAATAAAATTATATAAAAAAAAATGCAGGATTGATATTTAAATATTCTTTTAGTTGCTAGTTGTGAGTGTTAGAAATCGACCGATTAAAACCATGCGAACAAAATTTCTAAAATTAAGCTTCAAATGAAAAATATTTTTTTCTGTAGGAAGTCCTTTTTTCTAAATTTATTATTCCGGACCTAAAAATTTTTAAAATTCACCACTATACTTCGATAAAATTTTGAGAGGAAGACGATCATTTTTAAAATTTGTTGTATCAGGATTGAATTTGCCATATTTTGTGTGTCCTGCGTCATCTAAAATTAAAATTTGTTTTAGACCACGCTGACCTAAAAAAAATATGCAGGCAAATTCAATCCTGGCACACATATTTTTCGCAATAATCGTCTGTTTCCCAAGATTTCTTTAATAATTTTCACAAATTGTCAAGAAATATCCAAATTCTGGTCATGATATTTTATTTAAAATATTGGAATAAATGCAAAAATTCCTCTTTTCCTGTTGATGCGATATCAAACAAAAAATCTTAAGCTTGAATTTCAAAATTACACGCTAATTAATAAGGATAAATAACTCTAAACAAATTTTATTTTTACCGATTTCATTTGTCAGGATTGATATTTCAATATTCTCAAGTTGCACGTTGTAAAAAAATTGTATCAATTGAAAAACCACAAATATACGGATCGAAAATTTATAAAAGCAATAATCTGACATAAAATATCTCACGCGGGAATAATGATATATTGTTCCGTTAGTTGTGAGTGTTTGAAATCGACCTTTGTAAAGCATGCGAACAAAATTTCTCAGCTTTAAATGATAAATTTTTTTTTTTCTGTAGGAAGTCCTTTTTTTTTAAATTCCTGACCAAAATTTTTTTTAAATTCACCACTATACGCAGATAAAATTTTGAGAGGAAGACGATCATTTTAAAAATTTGTTGTGTCAGTTTTTAAAACCATGTCCAAAAAGTAATAATTAAGAATAATTCGTGAAAAAATTTTAACTGAAAAGATTTTTCCAAAAAAATTAGATTATTTGAAGAATATACTTTTTATAAAATTAATATGTACTAATTTTTGTCAAATAATTTCACAGCTGCTCATGAATTATGTCTGCATCCCAAAGCCGAAACAGGCATGTAGAGTCCGAGCAGGATAATATTGTTTTATTAAACAATAAACAATTCACAAAACCCATCGAAGAAAAACGGACTTGAAATTCAAAATCAACTTAAAAAAATCTAAATTAGCAAAATATACTTTTAATGATTTTATTTCATAAAATATTTCCAGAGCGGATTGTTGATATTTTTTTTTTTAATTTCTCGCACGATTTTATCTCTTATATGTGTGTGTCTAGGTGCGACAAGGGATCTTGTATATTTATCTCGGCACAGGAAAGAAAAATCGGCAAAGCAAACACGGCGGTGCACGTGTGTGCGAAAGAGAGGATGAAGGGGGGGTTTGCCTTTTTATTCGGGTGTCTGCGGTGCCGAGGGAGATTAACCCCTTCGCGGAGGCCGGCTCTGCATGGAGGCTGCTGCCTCCGGTATGTATCTGTGAAGCAGGCAGGGGTGCGCACGCGCGCCTCTGACTTCTCTCTCTCTCTCTCTCTCTTTCTCGACATCTAGGCCCTGATCAATAAGCCGCCCGAGCAGCAGCCGAGCCGAAGGAAGAGCCACTGCCCTTGCTTGTGTGCGTCGCAGCATCTCCTCCGAACCATCGACCTGCACCAAAAAGCGCCGAATCTGTCGACTCGACTCGCACTTCGCCGGTCAGGTGAGTCGCCGCCCTAATCCTTCCTTGCAGGGGCCTTCGGGGGCGCCCTCGGGGGTCGCCGCCGCCATGGCGTTGGTGCGGTGCGCGGGGCCGCTCCATCGCACACCGATGTCAGTTCGCGGGGGTGTTCTGAGATCTATCTGATTTTCCTCAAAAGCAAAACCGTTTTTTGCAAACATTCTTATTGCATTATAAAAAAGTAATAAGTCAAAAAGTTTCTGTGCTGTTTTTCTGTTCATGAAAAGAATATCTGAGTTTGGCTTGTTAAAATTTTCTCTCAGGCTTACAAAAACCCTCATTATATTGACTAAAAATTAATTATTCTGCGGAAGTTAAAAAAAAATGGAATTTGAGCTAAATTTTTGTTAAATAGGGTGGATAATAATTACAATTAGCTTCCTTTTTGTTCAAGTTGCACTGGATTATTTAAATATTATAATTGTAACAAAAATATTAACTTTTAGACTGGTTTAGGCTAAAGAAAATCAGTCAGTGGTTGATAACGAGACGTTAAAGCTTGCAGCAGTTAATAAGCTGCATAATATGCTTTATATAATTATTCTCCAACGTTTTGTGCAAGAAATTTACAACGTTAATTGTATTGCATCTCGTCCAAATCACAATCTCCAACTTTGTAACAAATTCAAGTTGCTAAATAGTGGATATTATTTAATATCTCTTCTTACTATATTGGAGTTTATTGCGTCATTGCTTAAATGAACGTTTCAAAAGCTTTGTTGGAAGAAGTTGACACTCGAGGAGATGATCATGGATTCTTGTATCATTCTTGTACTAGTCAGCGAGCAGCGCGTTTGCTCATGAATTAGGGTCGCAGACAGTGACCAAAACTGGTAGAGCCATTTGTTTTTTGAATAAAAAAACAATTTATGCCACGAGAAAAAGCCCGATTCATTAATTTCCGTTTCAAAAGCTGCGCTTCTTTATTTTGAAACCACGAATTTCAAAAATTATTTGTTTGGATGTGATTAAATTTTTTTACTTTCAAAATTCCCTCCCATCATGAGGGTTTCAAGGGGGAGTCAGGGTTTCCTATCATTTAAAAAGGTCATAGAGCAAACAAAAATCATTTTTCCAGTCCCACTTACATAAAAAAAAAAAATGATTTATCTGTTCAGTTTAAAGTAAAATGAGCTTCAGTATAACTTAAAACCTCTCTCACTATTGATACATGATTAGAAATGAAAATTTTGTTTTTCATTTACCTCAATTAATTTTTCTTCTACTCAATCATATTTTAGTCCCGGAAAAGAAAATTCACTCTCGCTCTAGTGTTTGTTCAGAATTCGCACTTTCAATCACCGGCCTCGTTTTGGCGCGCCAACTGTGCTTGGCGTGCCAAATGGCACGAAATTTCCATCTAATTGCACCGCCATTTATTCACCGAGCCGACTGATAATTGCACCTCCGCCTCTTTCTCTCTCGCTAGCGTGCCCACTGACTTGTAACTTTTCAATTCCCAAATCAAGCGTGCGCTGATTATCCAGGAAAAAGTGAATTATAAATAAATAAGTATAAATAACAACCGCTAGAAAAGAAGTGCAACAATTGTCCAGCCCAACATTAAACAATATTTTTGGCTCAAATGAAAAATAAAAACAGAAACGAATATTTTTATCCATTAGCGTGCGTAAAACTCATCTGTTGGCAGAGATTTTCAGAGAAAATCGCTTCTTTCTTCCCTCCCCCTGGTCCACAGGTACACAACACACAGCATACCTGTGCTCCTCTTTTTCTTCTTTATTCTTTGTTGCCGTGCCGACGCTGCCGCCGCCGGACCCCATTATATCCCCTCACCTCTCTGAGCTTTTCTTCTTCCACCAGAGAAAATAATTCTCGGCCAGAGAGCGAAACTATAGTTTTTCTTTGCGTATCTCTTTGGTGTACCATCTCGTGCGCTGCAAATTGAGTTGGGCTTGCACATTCAAGTCGCCCAATTTGGCCGAATTACTCTTGCGCTAATCTGATTACAGACCGCTGTACGTGATTCATATAATTGCCATTGGATCGGTCCCTGAGGCACCGAATTCAAAACAATGCCATTATTCAATTAAATACTATTGGATTTTGTTTGTATTTCCTTGTAGAATTTACTGAATATTAAATTCTATTGTTATAATTGACAAAAAAACTCTATCTGCATAATTAAAATTTAATAAATTAAATTTATTAATTGTTATTATTAATATTATTATCGCATTAAGCAAGAAAAATTCCATTTAATTTAATTAATGAATTAATTAATTTAACACTTTTGAAAATAATCATCTCTAAAAAATGATGAAATTAAATTGCATTTAATAATTGACCTTTAAGCTAAAAATTATAATCGGTTTTTAATATAAATAAATAAATGATTGTTTTCAAAACTTGAATGCAAACAATATATTTGTAACAATGTGTACGAATCAACAACAAAAATAATAATAATAAATTATTTTCTAATAATTAAAAATCTTTATCGTTTATTATTAACAAGACTATTGAAATCAAGCCACGTTGTTGATTTTATTACTCAATGTGACAATCCCCATTTGCAATTTATAATTAAAGAAAAAAACTGGATATATTTGAAAAAATTTGTAAAATAACCAAAAAATATTTCATCTTTTTATGAAGAACTAAATGAATTAGAGATTAATTTTATTTTTACTCTGTTAGATTCAATATTATTTTTAAATAAAATAAATCTATTGGCAAATAAACGGATCGTGCGCGTTAGACTCTAACAATATTAATGAAATTATTGTTGATTTGGAAAAGAGAACAGTCAGATAAGTTAAATTGGAACCTTTGCCTTAAATGGGTTTGTGTATCTTGTTAACGGGTTAACTGCTCTCCATCCGGCCCTCAACGGCAGGTTTCGCATTTCAAGTGACTCTCATTACAAGTTTATAATACACGTTATTTACTCAGTCAAATATAGGCCTCTCTATTTGAGTATTTTTTAACTTTGCATTAAATGACGTCGAAAATTGTAATTTTGAATTCAAATTTAAGCTGAATAAAAAAACCATGAATAGTTTGATAAAATATTGATCGATTGCCCTCTGATTTCCAAAACCTTGCAATCTTTAATAACATACTCAATTTGGTTCGTCTCGTAGCTCGTAGATGAAAACCAAATTTTATAATTTATCAAATTTCCAAAGCTCAAACCATTATTTGATGTTTCCTCCCTAAATTTTTGCAGTTATTGCGCTGTCCAAATTTTTACCATATAATATCTATCGAAGCAGTCTAGTCTGAATTATGTTGTTAGGGGAGAGATCGTAGAGGCGGAAAATTCGGAAAGGGGATGAAATTGCAATGCCTTCCGGCGGAACAACCTCCCGCGTGCTGTTGCGGAAAACGATCGAATATTTCGCAAGAGCCCAAAACCGACAGCTCTCTCGCCTGGTTTTCAATTTTTTTTTCACATGGAGAGGCATGATCGTTGGTAATGCAGTTACTCGGCGAACGAGTCATACCTGCCCCTGCTCTCACCTGGGATCAATAACGCACGAGAGAGTCGCGCAAAAAGATGAGACGAAAAACCGCAGCCAGCCACACACGCCAAACATAAAACATGCGGCATTATTATGCTGCGCCGCAAAGCACACACATGTGCAGGACCCTTATATAAACATGACATGGTGCATATGCGTGCTGATTCTTCGTGAAAGGAAAGGCTAATTCCGGGCAAACACTTTTGCGCAAAAGGAATTCTATGAAAAGGGGTTGTTTAATGTTGAATAGGGCATTTAAATTTATACTTTCGCGGAAAATAATACTGGCGGTTGCTTCTTTGTTAGTTTATCTGGTCAAAAAGTATCTGGTTCTTAATTTTGATTAATATTAATTTTTATTTTGTCATTAAGTTGGAAAATTTCATGTATGGGGCAAAGTTGCTCCCGGTCTGAACCCTATAAACAAAACTTTTACAACTATATATAATGTTTTTATATGAATTTTTTCGTGGTTTTTTTATATTATTAAATGAAATAAATGTATTTTAAATCCCTCATATTCAGAATTAAGTCCCTGCGAGAGCCACAATCAAAAAAGGTCTATTAAATTCTTAAATTCCAAAATTTTCAAGTATGTATAAAACTGTTCATATTTTCTAGAAAATTTACTGCACTAATTTAATTCCATGAATATTGAATTTTTTTTAATATTTCCGAGAAATTTTATGGTATTTTACCAATTCCAAAGTTGAATACCAACCTTATTTGATTGCAGTTTGATTTGGTCCCTCAACAAATGGCACAAATAATTATTCATAGGGATTTTTTTCGTTCTACCAACTATTGTTTGAAGCTAATTTTTTAATAGAAAAAATACTTTTCATTCGACACTCGCAAATACTTTCAATTTTTTTTTCTCATCTAATTACGCAAAAACGCGGATTCTTTATGTCTGCCATTGTGCCGATAAACAGCGAGTGCCATTAATTATTAGCTTTTTTAATATGGCAACAGCGGTAACACTACACAAAAACTCTCGGTGGCATTCATTTCCCTGCCACCATAGACGACCACCCATGCATTGTTGTCCTGCCTTTTTTGCGCAAATGCCAAAGTTCGCACACTAATAAACAGAGGCGGATGGCAAACATGAAAATTGCACGCCCAAAAACAATTCAATTGCTTTTGGTTAGTGAATTTTTGTTGTTGTTGTACAAGGTATTTTCATAAAACTATGCAAATTTCATTTCGAGCAAATTCTTTAGTTGCGAATAAAGTTAATCAAATTTACTACAAATCACCGCTGCCTTAATTGAGATTATAAAATATCCCTTCTTTTAAATAAATTATAAAATCTGATATTATAGAAGGGAAAACAAATTCATGTTTCAAAAACTATTCTCGGAAAAAACACAACTAAAATTTGCTCAAAGTACTCATATTAAAATGTGAATTGCTTCATTGAAAGTATGCCGATTAATGGGAAATTTATGTATTGAGCTCTAAAAATAAAAAAAATTCAATTCAATTGGAGGGACAAAATGTATAATTGCTTGGTAGAATTAAAATATTTAGAATGCAGATTTTCTATTGAAAATCTAAAAATAAGAAATATATAATTTATTAAATTGGGAAAGTAATTTAAAGACTTCAAAGATAGTAAAGACATCACGATTAAATTGCTATGTGTGCAAAAATTGTACATAATAAGGCAATAAATAATACCCAAAAGTATTCAATAAAATAAACCACGAGTTTTTTTTTGATGATTCAAGTTGGACATATTCAAATTCTTCCTCTCACAACAAATTGATTTTCATTACATGCTCCTTACTTTTTTACAACACACAATCTTAATGAGAATCACTGCTTTGGCGGGAGCAACGAGCTCTTGAATTATATTTAGAGCATTTTTTTCTTCTTTTTTTCTTCTCAAGAGTGCTAAATAAAATATTAGTCCCAAGAGTCGGCTGCCGGTGGATTTGAGACGAGAGAGCAGAGGTTGATCCATTTTTAATGAGCAGAGTGGCGGCTGAGATCATGAGCCATTCCTTCCGTCCGGAGGCGCATGTTGAGAGTTGAGAGGGAGGAAATTTACACACGTGTGAAACTAATTCTCGCATCTGCGCCCGTTCAAAATTCACCCCCCCCCCCCCTTCGACCGACCTTTTTTACTTTCAAAAGGTGCATTTGTCTTAGCCGAGGTGCTTTCCATACGGTCGGTCGGGTTGGAATTAATTTGATTTCTTTCAAGTATAAATGCCAATTTGGCGAATTTTTAATTTTTTTTATAAAAAAATTAATAAAATATTTAAATAATTAATAAGACTGGTGCAAAAGTAATTCTTCTCTAAGAAAATATTTAAGTGATTTTTTTTTCGGTTATAAAAAAGAAATCCAGCAGAAAAACTATTTTTATAGTCTTTTTTTCTTCAAATTGTGAAAGAAAATAAAAGGTAAAGGAAATTTTAATTACAAAATATTCATGTAAAATATTAATTATCAACAAAAAATAAGAAATAAATACAATCTAGAAATAATAAAATATTATATTTAGGGTAAAAAGTTTATTCTAGTCTCACATTTGAGCCTGAACACTACAACACACAAATTAATATCTAATGTCACAATAAATTTTGGTAGGAATGGAAAAAATGTATTGAAGAAATGAAAAAAAATAGTTATGTAGTTTATATTCTGGGTGAATTGTCCAGTGCGAAGTTTTGAAAGGAAGAATCGATTTCCATAATCTTCTATGTAAAAGGCCGACCTAACTGCTTTTTATACTTTTTCCTGCCTCTCGGCGGGGCAGGGATGAACTTTGAAAGTTTATGGCCCCAGCAGTCATAGCCTGTGATGCCCTTTGTCACAACAAAGACTTGAGACTCGCTTGTGTAAATGGCACCACATACTGTATATGCGCCATCCATGAAAAGCTTACTGTCGGCCTTCCAGGGAGAATCTTTCTCTGAGACAATGCAAAATGCGTCAAGCTGAATTTTTTTAATCCCGATTTACAAAATTTAAGCCACAATGGAAATAAAATAAGTTGATTTGTTAATTGCAAAATGTAATGTAATCCAACCCTTTCAAATAAGTTCAAAGTTGACATTTATTGCTAATTAGTAATTAATTATAAATTACTGTACATTATTATTATTATTATTCTTTATTGACTTATTACAGTTTACTATTTATTATATGGGATTACTATTAATTTTCAATATAATAATGAAGATCTCTTATTATAATTTATAATTTCACCAATATTAATAAAAAAGAGTCCATTTTATGATTTGACTTGACGCATAATAAACGCATGATGGTGTTCAATTTGGGGTTCATAATTTTTGCTAATTATAACAAAGCGTCCAGTGCAAAGTTTTGTTTCAAGAAAGTTACGCAATGAAAGCAAAAATGAAAAAAAAGTTATGTAAAATGGAAGAAGTATTTTTAAATAGATATTCATTATAATTTAAAATTCATTCAATTAAAAACGGGGATTTTGGCAGATTTTGGGTACATGCAAGAAGTAGGAGTGCTCCCGCTGTTTGGCCGACTGCGGCTCTGGCGACTGCCGCCTTTGGGTTCATGTTTTGTTCAACGCTACCTATCGCCTAACTCAAAAACTCGTCTTCCCTCGCGCGCGCTCTGGCCAGATTCGGACAGGAAACGAAGCCCTGTCCACGAGCTGGAGGTCAAGGTTGATCCATCTGGAAGGAACCAAGCGAATAAACCCTGATGACCTCCAGTATCAGGAGGGGCCTCCTATATGCTGCGCTTTATTGGCTCCAAATTGTTGACGAGTAGCTCGTGATCAAAAATTCATGATTTTCTTATATATCATTGTTTTTTAACGAATTTGTTTTGATGCTTATTCTTTCGAAATACGATTTATTTCCTAAATAAATTAATGAAAAATCAATGATATTAAGCGTTTTTCATATTTCTGTTGCACGGGTTATGCAGTCACCTGCCCCAAACGTCATGCTCAAGTTTCGAATTTTAAAAACTGGCTAAAAATATGCAGAAATATTTCTATCAGTTCTAAAATTCAAGTTTGAGTTTCGAAACTAAAAATTTAATCACAAACTTTGGTATTGAAAAGAGAATTGAATAATTAAGTTGCTTTTAGAAAATTTACGTACTTCGTTTAAATTGATTTCGAATTTGTTAACTGAAGTGATTTTAATTACACAATTTTATTTGTTATATTTGCAGAATGAAAGTAATACTGTGCGCTACCCTTTTGGCCGTTGTGTGCCACCAGGCTGTGATGGCCGAGGGCCAAGGCGGCCAGCAGAAGGTGGCCGAGTGGAGTGACAAGTCGCAGGCGAGTGCCGTCGCGAGCACCAACAGCAACGATGTGCCGCCGTCGCGCCAGGAAAGAGCCGCAAAGGAAGTCAAGAAGGAGAAAAAGGAGAAAAAAGTCAGAGGTAATTTCATAGCGAAGTGGTTTTTGTTCGTCTGGTGAAATGTATGCAGATAACAGAAAGCGATTTGGCACACCCTTGGTGTTTTTTTACTGGAAAAATGCGTTCTTTTGCAGCCGATAACTGCAAATACGTCAAGGGTGCCTGGAGCGAGTGTGATCCCAAGACCAACATGCGAACCAGAACGTTCACCCTGAAGAAAGGAGATCCTTCCAACTGCGAGGCGACCAGAGTCATCGAGAAGAAGTGCAAAAAGGGAAAGTCTGGTGAGACACATTTTTATTGAATTTTTATCGAATTGGGCAAGAAAGCGAACATTGAAGATTAAGTCGAAGAATAAAAATAGGCAATATTTTCTTAACGAATATTTCGAAAAGGCAAACTTTTATAAGGGAAACCCACTATAAGTGGTCCTAATTAAATGAAAACCTTACATACATTGTCGGAATAGCGCTGGTCCTTTTATTATTTTCTTTGTGTCTCGGCACACACAGGACGAAAGGACCCTTTGAAAGGCCTTGTCGGGCCAATTGACGATTTCCTTTCTGAGACTCTCGGTACGTGTCGCAATCCTCTCATTATCCACTTGAGCACTAGACGCTCATCAACAGGCACTGCGCTCTTCACGATCGATCAATCACTGCAAAGGAAAGTTCCATTCCTTCGTTGTGCATAAGTAAATTTTTATTCATCAAAAAGAAGTTCAAAACAGTAATTCGCAGAGCTTGAAAAACAGCGGTATTAAAAAGAGATACAAAAAAGTTCGCAGTCGGTAGGACTCGAACCTACGCTCCCAGAGGGAATCTGATTTCTAGTCAGACGCCTTAACCACTCGGCCACGACTGCCGCATATGAAACGCTAAGGGAAAGTTAGTTTATATAGTCTTGAATCAAGTTCAGATGGCCTAATTTGCTGACAATGCTATTTTTATCTGCAACGAATAAAAAAATGGAATCATAGCATTATATTTTGTATTTTCATGTTAGATAATGTAATAAAAAAAGCGATTCCATATTAAAGAGAGGATTATTGTTTTTCGAGTTAAAATATTATAAAATAATTTTAGAGCGATACAATTACAGTATCAATATTTCAAAATATTTATAAAGGAGAAAGATATAATATTTCAAATTATTTTATGCTATTTTTGACATCAATTTGTTTTCTAATCAATGTAGAATAAATAGGATTTTATTTACTTAGTTTGAAGCCACCAGAGAATTGAACGGATAATTCTCGAAATTTCATTCTCTCTCTCATCAATCTTGCATAATTTGTGTGCAGGCTGTCAGTACGAAAAGGGCACCTGGAGCAGCTGCACCCCGACCAACCAGATGAGCCGCACCGACCGACTGAAGCCGGGTAGTGACCCCAGCTGCGAGGCCACCCGCCAGGTCACACGGAACTGCAAGAACAAGCAGGGCAAGGAGAACAAGCAGAAGGGTGTGTAAACACCAAAATGAGACTCGATTTTCTATTATTTCCTCTTCCCACGCATTATCGATTGCCCTTCTATCTTTGCCTCCATTGATTAAACCATATCACTCTAGGCGAATAAGAGAGCAAATAATAGGGTTGCTTCTGCTGCAGGGAGAAAAGAATAAAAGAGCAGAGAGAAAGGCGTTGTTTGGCTGGAAAAGGAAATCAATATGCCTTCTCAAATAACATTATCGTTATCAAAAATTTAGATTTCCTTCCTATTTATTTTTTTGTGGAAGCACTTTTTTTTAATTTTAAAATTATTCTAATCACAGGAACTTGCACAAATTTTAAAAATTTAATATGAAAATACTCTGCATTCTTCCATTTTATTATTCGCTTTTTTATTAATTTTGTCTACTCAAGTCTTAAATTTATATACATACATGATGTTGCTCCTCAAAAAGATAAAAATAATGGAATTGAACCTGATAAACTTTGGAATTGCTTTATTTTTAATTTAATTAAAATTGTCCAAGATGAAATGTTTTAATCAATGCTGGAATCTTTTGCAAAGTATGTTTGTCAAAACTTTTGACGGGAATGATTTGAAAACAAAAGTTAAAATTTAGTGAGCAATCAAGAGAATATTTTTATCACATCCATTTCATCAATATAATAACTGGCAATATTTTGTAATTATTTATTTAACCAAATATGTGTTATATTCGAAAATGTAATATTTTTGCTAATTTAAAGCTTTTTTCAGGAAACTCAAACAATCGCCGAAACAGGCAGTAAATTCGCAGCTAAGCCACTCTGCCTAAATATGCAAGAAAGAACGATTGGAGATTATATTCTTGAATCGATGTGACAAGACACCCTTCATTCTCATCAAGAAGTAAAAATTTGAAAGAAAAAAAACCGCTCTCCCCATCTCACAGTGATAGCCCCTTTTACTATAAACACATACTATAGCACATGCATACAGAACTTTTAATTGATCCGATTTTTCTCACCTTGAAAAAAAAAATTAAATCACACAAGCCTATACTCATCACACTTAAACCAAGACAATTTGTTTTTATTGGAAACAGACGGACCTTGTGAAAAGTATCTGCAGAATTTTGAAATTTCCAATTCTAATTCACCGACTGCTGACGCTTTTTTCTTACTGAAAAAAAAAGACGAGTTTTGATTAATTTTTTTTTCAGTGAAAATTTCAGACGTTCAGACTTTCTGAGTGGCGCTAAAACGACCCTGACTTGCATATAAGGTTTTGTAGACATGCTTGATGTACAATTATAGGGAGACGGTGCCTCTCTCATAATTCGACCTACTTCGAAATTTTTAATAAAAAAAAAATTGCGGAAAATTCTATTCGGATTAAAGCAGGAAAATGATTGAGATCGATTATGAGGGGAGCGTAATTGAGACAATTATAAAAAATGAACTAACGAAAAAATATCAAATTCGTTACTTGTAGCTGGACTCTTTTACTCTGGATACGTATTTGCATAAATATATTCATATATAATTACAATTGCGTACTAATGTTAAATGTCATGGAAACTAATCAATTCAGACTTTGTAACAGAGTCACAAATTTAAAAATAAAAAGCCAACATACTTCTAGTTCTTCCCATTTCGTTCTCTCCTCGATTGTGATCCCCCAGAATAAGTTTGGGGTGCCAAATTCCATTCTGTATATCGAAGTGAAAAACTTACAATTAATCCATATTAGTAAGTAGATGTACTTTGAAAAATAATATTTTGTTCCTCGCTCTTCCGTCTCAACTTTTTCAATCCAATTTGTGAATTTTTGTTTTGAATTTTTTTTTTTAATTTTAAGTATAAATAAATACAATTAGTGGCCATAATGCACAATGTCTTAGAGATGTATAATCAGAGATAATATGCAGCGGTGTTAGAAAAGAAACGAAAATGTTAAACTTGTGCACGCATCTCATTATACCAGATACACATTTATTAAAAATACTGTGCAAAAGTTGTGTTAGCGGATTAAGAAGAAGACGTTTGAAAGAAAAACTGCTGCGTACCAAACTACTTGAAAAAATTACACATCCAAGTGTATCTAGCCGACATTATTATTATTATTATTACTACTACTACTACTACATTATATAACTGTAAGCATTGTAATTAAGGCAATTAAAGGTGTAATGCTTATAATGAAATGTACTTTAATAAAGCAGTAAACACGGTTAAATTCTTGCTTGAGTTTTAATTATTCGTATAAAAATTATTAGACAATATATGAATTTAATATTAAATTTTTTTATAAAGGCTTCACAGAATTGAAAAAAATGCAGGTATTAAAAATTTATTTTTCTGATGGATTTTTGGTTAAAGAAATATAAAATAATTAAAATTGAAAATCAAGAAAAATTTTACCTAGTAAAATATAATTCTATATTTTCAAGCAATTATTCTATAAAACCGATCCTTTACCATTTTCTAAAAAAATACTATAATGATATATTCAGGGACGCACAGCACCCTTTCCCAGTTGGTTATATAAAGTCTTTAGAAGGGGAATATCATGTTTTACTTTATTCGATCACGCAGAAAATAATTCAAGCCACATTATGCTTTCCCATAAGGACCTAATCCTTTGGGCACCGAGTCTACTTTTCCCCTTATGTATTTTATTTCCTAAATCAGTTTTAAATGTAATATTTTATGAAGACATGTTTATTTGAATTCTTTTGTAAATACAAAAATTTATCAAGATCAAAATCCAAAAGTTTTCTTTATCATAAATAATTAAAAGCTAAAATTCTAAAATATGAAATGCCGTAATCCGCATCACAAAATAAAAATAGATTGTTTTATTGTTTGTTCTTTATCTTGACAAATATACGTTTTCTGTTTGTTACCTGTTTGTCGTGAAGACGAAGAATAAAATAACTGCTCCTGAGAGTGAATTTTGAGGGAAAAATTACTAAATGTAAAAGATATTTTTGTTTAAATAACGTTAAATTGCGTTAAATTAACACATTTTCAAATTTTTTTTTTAAATGAAAAGAAATTTCTGTTTTATTTTCTCACATAGTTGCAAAAGATTTTGCATTTCCAATTAAAAATATCTGTATTGACTGAAGAGAATAAATAATAATAATTGGAAAAAAATCAAGATTTGTTGGGAGAACTGTTGGGCAAGAAGGAATCTGCAGTGATAAATAAATTAATTGGAGTGCAATCGTAAAAATGTATGTGAACCTGACCGACTCCGACTTTTGTAAAGGTGCTGCAGTCGCCCACCTTTGAACACAGGTGGAGGCACCTGGAACTCCTTGGAATAAAGAATTAATAAATAATTTTATCACAGAGTTGGAATTTTATACTCCCCGCCGGCATTTTAAATTATTTTCAAAAGTGAAAAAATATTATTACGGGCCATGGAAATTTACCAGTTTATAAAAGCAAGTATCTCCCTTAAATTAAACAAAAGAGGGTATTGGTTTTTGAAAGCTTCAATAAAAAGCAATCTTTAATTTAACATGATAGGCATCGGTAATTTCCCCGTGGTTGGTGAAATGCGAGGTCAAAGGTGGCCCGCGTTTTAAATGCCAGCAGAGTTGGTAATAATCTGATTGGATGTGTACACCGTGCACAGAGAAAATGCAATTTCGGTGTATGTATTTATTTGCCAGAAGCATCCATGTGATCCTCGCTGGCTGGCGCACCTCCCACTTCTCTCCTCTCACTGCCGGCGGCTACAAATCCTCTGTGTCTACCTGTGCCAGGCACGGCGCGCGCGGTAGGCAGCACCGATTTTAATGTTAGCGACCTCGCGGTTTATAGCAGCTCCGACCAACACACACACACACGCAGACTCTTTTAATTTCATTCAAAAGCTCCGGTATGAGTAATGAGCACTCAAGACTTTCTTGAAGGGCGTTTCAAATATTGTCTGATTAAGAAGAAAGTAGATTAGAATTTTTAAAAAATTTCTTTTATTAGAAAATTAAATAATTAGCAAAAAAAAAAACTGATAAGGGATACATTTTGAAAATTTTTAGTTTAAAACATAAAACTTTTTTACTGAATTGGCCAAAAATGTTCAAATTTTTGTATTTTATTTCAAATTTTTCAGATAGCAGATTTCCAGCTTTAGAATTTTATCTGAGAAAGTCAAAATTGCGATTTTAAAAATTTTGATCTATAATTAAATCAAAATTTAAAAACCAGTGAAACAGATCGGAATGCACGTTAGATCAATTTTTTGGCACTAGTTGAAATCAGAACGCGAATTGAAGCGGCGCAAATCACTGTTACTCGACCAAATTATCATTACGATAGGCCAAGGAATGCTCTACCAATTAACTATCATATACCTGAGTGCCTCCTCGATGGACTCTCGTGAACAGGTATGACGTCAAAACACTCAGGTTTGGCGTGGTCACGTGACTCTCCCAGCGCAGGACACTTCAAAGTCATACCATCAATCTGTGCGAAACCTCGAATGAGAACTCGTCGGAGCATGGGATGTGGAAAATATCACTTTTTTAAATGAATCCCTTTCATCTGCAGCAGAAGCTCCTTGTGACATTCAAAAAAGAGTCTTTCTGGAATTGTTAGATTTTTATTATTATTTATTCTTCTCGGTCAACACAAAAAATTCAATTGGAAAAAAAGAGAAGAAAGGGTCTAAAACTAGCAGAACTTGCTGCGTTATTTTTAAAACGAAAATAAACTAACACTTTTTGTTTTTTCTAAATAAATTAATTTAGAAAATCAAATATTAACCAATTTCACATAACTAAGTATCAAAAGAATTTAATATTAAAAATTATATTACGTGTTTGATGGAATGACGAATTTTCTATTTACAATAATAATCAAAATAAACGTTTGAAATACTTTTTTGAAAATTAAGTTTATAATAAAATTTAGTTAATTATTAGTGTCTGTATTAGAAGATCTAAAAAAGGAGCATTTTGATAGTTTTTTATTTTTCTCAAAATTTACAATTAGACCTCGACTCTTTGATGGCCAGAGAGGGGATTTCCAGCTTGCGAAATGTCCATGCTGCGGGGATTGCCCGTTTATAATATTCACTCTTATATATTTCTTTATCTTCTCTGCTTCTTTTTCTGCACACACAGGAAAGGGAAATTTGCGGAGGATCTCTTTGTACGGCGGAATAAATCAAGGCAGTGTTTAGACAAGAACGTGGCCAGTGCGTGATTCGCATTTGATGAGGGCACGGATTAAATTCATTCTGGACCCGTAGCCGCCCTTCAAATGCAGGAATTTCGCTTGCTTATGAAAGAGAGTTCAGCTCCGATGCCCATCTCTTTATACGCCGCGGCGAGCACCAAAATCATTCAAAATAATTTAATACGCAACGAGAAGAAACAAAACTGAAAACAGTGTCAGGGTCAAATGGAAATTTTACGCACATTTAAATTTGAATTAATAAAATATTTTAATTTTATGCTGTTCTTGAAAGTGACGTAACAAATTTTAGACAAAATTTTTTCTGAACATTTCGAACGTTAATTTTTTGCAGAAAGGTTGAGATGTGTGTTTCTTATAACTGGGTCGTGCAACGAGAGATGTAATAGCATTACGGCTTTCAATGAGCACCAGCGCCGCAAGGGACCGCAACATTATTCTTCTCAGCTCAATCAGTATACAAAATGCAGAGAGTAGGCGAGAGTGCAAACAAGAACATGGTGAATAGTTACGTAATACAGATTTCTGTTTGGCATTCCAAAATTTAAAATCTGCTTGACCTGCCTTAAATTTTTCTTTTTAATTTTCAATTGGTTATTAAATGTAAAGAAAATATTATTTTTTGTTTCCTTTTTTATAAATTGGGTCCGTCAGATAAAATTTTGTTATTCTACTTTTTGGTACATTATTTATCACAATTTTTTATCAGAAGATAAAAACTGTGTATTTTATTTGAAAAGTGAATTTTATGTCCTACCAAAATTATAATTTCTTCTGTGGAAAATGATGAAAAAAAAAAAAAAAGTAGAATTCTTAAATTTTAAGCGTCAGTATACATAGATGGTGTTTTAATAATTCACATAAAATTTATTTAAAAAAGCAGAAATCCAAGAATAATATTTAATTTAATTAATAATTACCAGTACAGGGATACTTTTTAGAGCTCAATCTTACAATAAATTTTCATAATTTTTTATTTTTTCATATTTTTTTTCCGAAAAACAAATTAATTCTAGAAATAACTTCTTCATTTTTAAGCATCAGATAATTTTTATTTTACCTAAAAAAACTATATTCATATGACAAACAAATAATAATTTACTCTGCGGTGAGGCGTCCCATGCAGGTGTGAAACAACTCATATTTAAAATTTGCTGATTATTATTATTATTATTATTATTATTATTGATCTTTATTGACTTATGAAGCGTCGCAACGATGTAGTGACTCACTGCAACGCGCCCCATTTGCAACATAGTACAAAACAAGTAGAAAATGGAGAGTAAAAAACAACAAAAAATATTACAATGTATCAATTAGTTGAAAAAACTCTTCTTTGCTATAAAATTTATGTGAATGAACAAATCGCCTCAAACTACTTTCAAAAATCTTGAATTACCTAACAGAATATAACATTTTAGGTAAAATCAAGCTTTTGAAAACTTTTTCTAAAAGAAAAAAAAATTTACAAATAGATTTCTGAATTTTTTGTGTGAAAAATGCCAATACCACGATTTTGTCCAATGGATGTGTACATTTTTTGAGAGGCTCATATTTTCACGACCTCAATTCGGCACTTCCAATTTGGGAAACTTCTCCAAATTTCGAGATCGAAATTTCGCGTGCATTGGATGCATGTATACCTGATATAGGTGCAGACCGAAAAAGTCAGTCAGGGCGGACTGGTGTGTGTGTGTGAGCGGAGGAGCCGCGAGGGGAGCCGCGTGTTCAGAGGCATCGCGCGTGCGCCCTGCGCGCCACCACCTGTTCCGTGAATTCCTGGCAACTCGGCTCTCTCGTCTCTTAGCTTAGTGTGGAGCGACCTGTGACCGCGGCAGGATACGTGCCGAGGAGAGCGGCCGCTTGTTGAATCAAATTTGAATCGCATCATATACGTGGCCGGCCGCAAAACATGTCCGCGTGCTGGTGAGACTGTGAGCGCGCGATTTGCAACATGGACTCGGCAGTGAGGCTGGTGTTGTTTGTGCTGTTGGTGCCCGGCGGCTGGCTGGCCAACACCGACGTCGACAACCTCGGCAACAGGGGTGAGTGGCCCTCCTCTTTTCTCTCCTCGCAAGGTGCGTCCGTCCGGCCGGCCTACCTGTTGCTCATTAAAACTCACCGCCGGAAACTCAAATTCCTGGCACTGATTTCAATTTTTTTATTCCATTGACCTGAAAATTACAAATTTGAAATCTCACATTTAGTTTGGAAATTTTTTTCATATTTATTAACAGCTTTTCTCCTTTTATTTCATTACAAATCATAAAAATTGTATAATATTGACATAGAATAATTACAACTGAACATTTTTACTTAAGTAGGCAGAAATTTGAGATTTGAGTGCTTTTTCAGACCAAGAATGGTAAATGTTATACAAGAAATCATCCTGATGTTTGACCTTTAACATTTTAACTGCAGCTTTTTACATTAATAGAATTTGCTGGAATTTTTAATAAATTAAAAGAAGGAATTTACATGAAAAGTTGATTTTTAAGAGAGAATTTTAATTTTGTTGTTCAGCTTAATTTTATGACAGAAAACAGAAAATTTGTTCGTTGTTACAAAAAGGTAAAAAGGATCATAACGCAAAATTTTACACATTAAATTTTGGAAGAAAATTTTCTTGAAATAGATAAAAACCCATGTTTATGATTTCAAGCAGTATAAATATAATTAGAAAGTCAGAAAATTATTTATTATTTGAACTGAAAATCTTATAACTTGCTTAATTACTAAAATTAAAATATATTAATTCATTAAAGACACAATGTCTGTAATTGTATTAAACTTTTAAATTTCATTTTGTCAGCGAGACTCGAATGATTAAAAAAATTTGCTTTTTGAGAAAAACACTTTTGGCACCAAACCACTTTTCCAGTCTGGAGATTCTTTTGAGGTTAAAATTCTACAGAAAAAAAATTGAAAAACAAGACCATCGGCGCCAAACGTGAAAATTTCGTCCTTCCCCAATTCTTTCACCACGCTTGTTTGCAGAGCCAGGTATATAGAAAACACCTGATTTCACCTGTACCAAGGGGGAGGGTGTCTCGAACGTGCTGGAATCCCATTGTTGACAGATAGCATGGGTGCGCGAGGGATGTTTTCAAGCAAATAGAAAGAAAGGAAGATTTTAAGTGAGGAAAACGGCCTGAATTTGAGACGTGAGAAGAAATCCAGACAAACAAAACATGTGAAGCCACAAGCAAATCCCTCAAGAGCAATTAGAGTCGTGAAGTATTTTTTTTTCCGTGGAAAGTGGCGCGTTTCCATTATAAAATATTGAGAACAGCTGCTGTTTTTATCAAAATGAACATGAGAGTATGTTTTTCGCTGAGACAGAAATTCCTTTCAAATCTGCATATCGTATTTCTCAATTATATCTCTTTTTACGCTGCATAGAACATCATCAGAGCAGGCAGCGAAGAAGGCTTTTGCATATAAATTGGCAATTTTCTTTCCTTTGATGACGCATTCCCTTTCTTTCCCAAATTCTTCCCTCATTTGTGCCAGGCAAAATGGGCTCTTTGGTTGTAATACACGCAATGTCTTTTTAAATCTATATAAATTAAGTCAAACACAAAAGGAAAACTTTGGAAAGATCATGACTTTTTATTTTTTTATTTCAACTATTTTATTTTTAATAGGAAATCCAAATCGCGAACTGAAATCACACTTTATTGATTTTAGCAATTCGGATTTCTATTTGTTGTGAGCAAAGTTTCCTGCTTTTATTTATCTTTAATTTCCGCCAAAGCGAATCAAATAAATTGACCTATAAATAAAATTTGGGTTTTTACTATGAAAATTCCAATTTTTGTAGTTTCCAATTTTTCCAAAACATTGGATATGAAAAGAAGGAAAAAAATATAATTTACAAATTTGTTTGTTGTTTTTCAAGCTTTTTGAACTGAAATTTAGGTGCTTTTGTATTTTCTCCACAAATCCCTTGAAATTTCGGCCTCTCTTATATCTTTCTGCTCACACGTGTATGTGCGGCGCCTTAAATTCGATTGCACAGACGGGTCGAACGCACTATACACCCCTATATCATTTTGCGCCCCGCTGATTTACTTTCACACCGCATTAGCGCCTAATTACGATCCAGCGCCATTCCTCGCCTCTCTCATCATATTCCGCAAACTTTCTGCGCCAACCCGCGGCGAATTCAACTTTCTGCAGCGCACTTGAAATTTCCGCCCCAACGAGTCTAATAATGTATAAAATAGCGCAGCCTCTTATTAATTTTTTTATTCATCACTCTCCAGTGGGGTGAAGCAGAAAGAAATTAGCAGGCAAGCAAAAAAGGTGGAATTAAAGCGAAAAAATATCGCAGTGCGTCCCAGTTAGCCGCAGCAGCGAGACACGCGATTTTTCAGTCATTGTTGGTCAACAAAGGCCCCACTTAATCACTCTTCCCTGAGTAGCCCGTCGCCATAATCCTTTGCTTCGCATCGGTCATCAGACTTTGAGGACAGTTAAGAAGTGAAATCGCAGTCGAGAATATAATAAACAAATTTAAAAAAGGTGGATTCAAGGAACTTTTGCTGTAATCTTTCCCGAATAAAAATTCCATATTTTTTTTTCATTCCTGCCTGAGAAATCTCCAGAGTCTCCAATTGGGTTTTTATTTTTCTCAAGTCTACTCAAGTCGATTATAAAATTAATTAATTGGTAAAATTTCTAAATCAATATTCAAACATTTTTAATTCTTTCACATTCCTTTAGGGTGCTCGAGGGTATAATTATCTTCCCTGTTATCACTGAAAATTGAGCAGTATGTATTTTTGATGGATTTTTAATGGAATTAAAAAGAAATTTTCATAAAACAGTTGATTTAAATAAGTATTCGAAAAGGCCTTTTGGACAACCGATACTGAAAAAAAAAATAAATAAAATTCAAATTGTTTTTTCCTGAATTTTTTTTTTAGCTTGCAAAGAATTGTCTTTGGGAATTCAAATGATCTTTACTGTATTTCAACAGAACAGAACATACGATTTTATTTCTACAATATTCTACTTTTATTATGTAATGTATATCTCTTGGAAAAGGCAAGGGAGGTAGAGAGAATAAAAGCAAGAGAGGCGCCAAAAATCCAATCCGTCGTTTGACACCCGGAGGCTCATTCTGCTCCTGTTATTGGCTTGCCCATTTTTTATATTCCCCTTTGTGCTTCTTCTCCTAGGTCTGTATTTTCACAAAAGACTGGTGATTATTTTCTTCGTGTGGGCCTTCTTTTTTCGTGCGAGAGCGTGGAGAGGTGCGTCTTCCGAAGGTGGGGAGTTAAACTCTCCATTGAGGCACGTTGGATGCATGAAAAATAACTCGTGAAATGTCTTTGACCTTTATTGTGGGTCTGGCATCGCCGCCGTGTCCCGTAGCCGTCACTCTACGATTCAAACACACACTCACGGTGCAACAACGTTTGATATTGCATTTCGTCTGGAAAGTAGGCCTCGGGACCAGAGGGGCAGCCACCTACTTTTCATTCGTTCGTTCTGTAACAATGAAAGAAGAGAGAAATAAATAACAAAGCACAGTGCGTTATCAGCCATGGGAGTATTAAATGTGCCAAAAAAAAGAAGGTGCGCCTTAAAAGTTTACAAAAATACATGACCTCTGCCGAAAAAACCTAAAACTCAATATGGAGAAAAGAATTGGGCACTTGAGAATCAAGGATATCTTGAAGAAAAATGGTCCTTATTGATGCAATATTTTTTATCATTAGCAAAAGTTTCCATACCAGTTTTGGTCACAATTTCATGAGAAAGAAAAAGAATGCATTTTATAGATCAAACTTGGTTATTTTTAGATTTTCGTTTTAAATTTTTTTACCAAGTAAATTTTCTTACCAATTTTTAATGTTTTAGGATTAATTCAACTATACTCATGGGAATATTTCACAGATTTAGAAAAAACTTGATTTTTAAATCAAATGAATTGATCATTTAATAACAAATAATCGTGACCGAATCAAACTGGGCGTGTTGGAGTTGGATGCGCACCTCAAATCGTTTGTTCGTTTGTTGCCTATTGAAACGGACATTTTCATTGTCAGCATATCAACTCGGTGTTGTATATATATTCAAATCAATAAGTGACCCAATTAGTACTAGTTCGGAATGCTTTGGCCGCGTACCTCTGACTAATCGCAGACAATAATTGAAACTATGCGCGCACTCGGCCGAATTAAAAATAAACTTTGTACGTTGAAATCGCATTTCGCACGACACAAAGAGTGAAAATTACATCAAATTAGTCGCATGCGTGCCTCTGCTTCATCAGCAGCGAAAGAAAGAAAGAACAGAGATAATGGAAGCCGCAAAATAACCCAGATTGCTTCAAGAAAATTCACAGGCGTTCCCACGAAAACTCGGATTCAGAGCGCAGCCAGACTTAATTTCGTCGTTTTCGTTTCTTGAGAGAAATTTCCCATTTTGATGGTTAACAAGTTTTGAAAGAGTTCGTTGACTTAATTTAATTTTAAAACTTAAACAATGTAACTAAGATAACAAGCTTCTTTTATAAGAACAACTTCCAAAATAAGTGTAATTTGTTATCTTTTGATCCTTTTGATCAACTGTGGAAAATGCTAAATTTATACAACAGCAATATTTTAGAATTTAAAAAAATAATTTATTAATTAGTAGACAGTAATGCTTATAAAAAAAATTTAGATTAGAATATTTATTAAGTACACAGTATATAGGTGCACAACAGGAAAAAAGAATTACAAATAGGTAGTAGTATTTTTTTAAATGCTCAATAGATTACATTTTTCATGATGTTCACCTTGAATTTCAAGAAAACATCTTTCTGATCTTCATCAATATTCACATTATTTATAATTTTCCACTAACCAAAATTTTCTTACGAAATTTATCTTTTAAAAAAATGAGCCATTAAAAACGTTTTTTATAAAAACAATTTTTAAGCTCACAACTCCCTCTTTAAAATTCTTTCAAACTCACAATCAAACTGATTGCCAGGTGTTTCTATTCACTCTAATTATATATGATTTGCTGTTTATAAAATTATTTCCCA